TGCTTGCCCTCTAGCGGAATGGGCAGAAGTCAAAGTCAAGGAGTTGTTACAGAAAAACAATATAATCTAGACTGCCACACCTCTTTACAGCTATCTTAAGCCTTTTAAAAAAGTAGAATAAACAATCGAAATTCTTAAGAGAAGGAGCTTTGGAGCTGCTCATATTTAGATATGAATTTTTTTACAAAAATGGAAACCAGGTCAGCTTTTGAAGTGATTCACTGACAGAAGGAGCCTGGAAAAGAAAAAAAAGGTATAGGAATTACACCAAGAACGTGCAAAATTTGAATGCAAGCTATTATAATGTTGCTTTGACAACGGATACGATTGACGTTGATTAATGTCTGTATTTTCAATCATCTAACATTTTATTGAATTATCCTTCTAACGCATTCCTTTCCTTTGATACCCTTTAGTGATAAAAATTTATGAGAGAAGGGCGAAATAGTAGAAGGAAAGTGATAGCAATGTTTGACTTTCTCCATGAGCGAAAGCCATACGAATGCGCTTGTTATCACAAAAGTGCTGCTGCCTCTTGTCAAGATTTATCATTGGATTTACGACCAAGACCTCCTATAAAATTGAAGAATCATTTACAAGGGGTGATAATGGTACTGAACTGCTCAATGTTTTACCTGTCACCGTGCAACAAGACGTATACCGAATAGTATCGGTACAAACTCAAAAATAACTAGCCTTGCAAAATTTGGGATTTCTATTTCCATGTTCACAAAAATGAGTTTAAAAGATAGTTATAGCTTTTAAAGTCCTTTCGATTGGAACATGACAAAAATGTGTTAGAAATAATCCGCACTCCTCTCTGAGTTGTGCTTGTATTGACTTTCTGGTATTTGATTTATTTTTTCAAAGTGCGATAAGGGAATTCTAAGGTGAAGAATGATGACTAAACGGTGAAGAACCAACACTCCTTGGAAAAGATACATTTTTATCGATGGGCATGTTTCCTTGCCCATCTATTCAGCACTTCCGTGAGAGGGAAAACGATGTACTTCTTGTAAGCTAATGTGACACTGTGAAACGAGAAGCTTAGTGGAAAATTATATCAATGATGAAATTAGGAAAAGGTGAAATAGGTCTACGTTCAAGAGAGCATAGTAAATAGGGGTGAAGCAGTTCAAGCTCGACAATTTGGGCTCTTAAAATCCTCGATAAATTCAATG